CCCCCACCTGTAAATGTCGGGCCCTCATACCACCCTCATGGAGTCTGTTTCTGTTTGAACCGTTTGAACAGACACATGCACATTTGTGACCTGCTGGAGGTCATTTTGCAGGGCTCTGGCAGTGCTCCTCCTATTCCTCCTTGCACAAAGGCGGAGGTAGCGGTCCTGCTGCTGGGTTGTTGCCCTCCTACGGCCTCCTCCATGTCTCCTGATGTACTGGCCTGTCTCCTGGTAGCGCCTCCATGCTCTGGACACTACGCTGACAGACACAACAAACCTTCTTGCCACAGCTCGCATCCTGGATGAGTTGCACTACCTGAGCCACTTGTGTGGGTTGTAGACTCCGTCTCATGCTACCACTAGAGTGAAAGCACCGCCAGCATTCAAAAGTGACCAAAACATCAGCCAGGAAGCATAGAAATTGAGAAGTGATCTGTGGTCACCACCTGCAGAACCACTCCTTTATTGGGGGGTGTCTTGCTAATTGCCTATAATTTCCACCTGTTGTCTATCCCATTTGCACAACAGCATGTGAAATTGATTGTCACTCAGTGTTGCTTCCTAAGTGGACAGTTTGATTTCACAGAAGTGTGATTGACTTGGAGTTACATTGTGTTGTTTAAGTGTTCCCTTTATTTTTTTGAGCAGTGTATATAGGGGTGATGTGTTTGTAGCTTTGTTATATAAATAAACCTGTTCTCTATTACTTTCAAACCAAATGCTTATTTTCAACTCATTTATGACCGCTTTTGAGCACCCATTTGGCTGTAAGTTAACCCCTTATGGTCAACAACAGTCATTGTTAAGATCTAATGCATGTAAGCACATTAGGAAACATACACTGCCCTGTGTATTTATCACTAGCCATTATATAGATTACAGCTGTCTCCAAATAAGAAGGATATTTTGAGTAGTATGTTGGTTTGTTAAAAAACCTAGCTTGTAAATAAAGGTGTATGATTGCAGAGAAAGTCCAAGTTAAAAATGCCTCATTTATATAAGCTTAAAAAATTCTCATGTCAATTTAGTTAACTTTTTTACAGAGTTATATAGTTTGTATATATACACGCACACATGAAAAGGAGACCACACTCTTCTATATAGAAATAGGGTGCTCTTGAACCCAGAGCTGGCAAACCTCTATTGTCCCTTAGTGAAGAAAGAAAGGATGGCCCAGGTACTCAAAATTACAAATTAAGCAGCTTTATTGGATGTGAACAAATATGGCAATGTTTTGGCCCTCACTGGACCTTTATCAATCTTGATAAAGGCCCATTCAGGGCCGAAACGTTGCAATGCTTGTTCATATTCAATAAAGATGCTTAATTTGAGGTTTGGAGTGCCTGGACTATCCTTTCTATCTTCACTAAATGTGTGTGTATGTGTCAGTGTATATATGAGTGTGTGGGCATGTTTCAGTGTGTGGATCTACATGTGTGCCAGTATGTGTGTAAGGTTCAGTGTGTATCTGTGAGTGTTGTACATACATCCCAGTGAACAAACACCAACACAACATGCAAACACACCCCTGCAAACATACATAAACATTATATGCAAACAAAACCCTGTGTGTTACATTTGAAAACACAAACACTGCTCACAAATACAAACATGCAAGAATGAGAACGGCAGATTAGGATCTACAGATCTAACTTTTGGCCACTTTTGCGCTAGAAGAGGGCACAGAACTTTTCTTGCATCAGGGCCCTCTCTCCATTAGTTCCACCACTGCTTGGGTCTCCACTACTGGGATGTAAACTTTCCTTCTTTTGGCCATGTTAACCTGTTAGTGCCAGGGATTGGGCATGCATGGGTCTGGGAACCCTTTGGCCCTGTTAACTCATTCTACTGTCTCTCATTGAACCCCTACGCATTAAGTTTTTCCTCCATGAGACTACATGTATATGATGTAGGCTGAGTTGAGGCTGCACATAAGTGGATATCAAGGGACAGAGGAAACTAACCTGGGATAGCAGGACAGAAAATCAAATTTCGGGCTGTTCTATTGAACTTGGGATAGTTGGGAGGGATGCAATAGTAAAATATAACACAAATAATTGAAAAGCAAAAATAAAACAGTTATGCAATGCAAAACACTGGGGGATACTCCGATTAGCAAATTTCAAAACAGTAATAATCAGCTAACAGATCATATAAATATACCCTTGGCATCTCCTGAATAGATGGAACTGTAACTCAAAATTGAGATAAAAGAATGTAGCTAAGCTTTTAACTCCACATGAAAGAACCACCATGAGCTGGTAAAAAGACATTGCCATAAACTAGATTAACAGTTGTGTCAAATAGGTTAAGCCCTGGGAGTTATTTCCAGACCACAGAATGAAACAATTGTGGAAGTTAACCAAAGTGCAGTTAACCATTGTAAGTAATAAATGCATTTCTGCCTGTTGAAGACATTATGTGGTTTAAACGGATTAACAGACTATCAGTAGTATAACTTCTAATCTACTTTAGAATTGAATTATGGTTTTTGCTCGCGTTACTTTTTGAATCATGCTCATTAACGTGATATACTAGTTTGCAATACATACACCTATTATACTAATCAATCAGTTGATTAACCACTCACATTAACACGTTTGACCTTAAACTGATTAAGTCCTAGACTTACAAAATAAATTAAACCTTATTGCACACATCTGAACTACTGCAATGATTACTAGAAAAAGCAATAGTGTCTGAATGTGTTCCAACTATAAACCATGTTTATATCTGAACAGATGTAGCCCTACTAGCTGTACAATCTGGTGAGCTGTAATGCAATCATTCTTTCTCCACATGTCCGATAGCCTACATGACAACGCAATTTATTTATTTATATCTGCTTGGTAACAGTTTGAAACAACAAGTAAAACATGTCTTAAAATTTAAAGGGACACTCCACGCTGCGGTTGACTTATATTATATAGAAAATACATCAAAATACGTAAAAATAAAATGAGAAAACAGGGTGAGATTCCTGTGGTTGTGCCCTACCCAAACCAGGACGTAGCTTGTCCATTACTTGCCTGGTAATGTGTATAGTTATACATTTGTACACATTCCTGGGCAAGTCTCGAAAGGAGATACACAGCTATAGCTCTACATCATTACTGGTTGTTGAGTAAAGGATATGGTAAACATAGGAGCTTGAACAAATATTACCCAAATAGACAGGATAAATGATAACGGTGTATAATCTGTCCTTAAAGAGGCAATGCTGAGAGAAAAGTCAGAGAACAAGAGAGTAGTCAGAGTAGTCCGAGAACAAGTCAAGGTCACAGGATTACAGAGATGCACAGATAATGTAAGTTGGACAAGAACAAGTTAAACAGATAAACAGAAGGCAGTAATGTCAAGATGAGCTGAGTAAAAAACAAAATGTCAGACACAATACACATGCACTATTGAAATCACATGGAAACCACAACAGGTCAATATGTTTGGTTGTTATAAAAGTTTATATTCATATCCTGCATCCTTCCTGCAAGCATACACGTGCGTATAGATCTAAATGATGCAGGAACAGTTTGCATTTTAGCGTCTTGGAATTAAAGGACCACTATAGGCACCCAGACCACTTCAGCTCAATGAAGTGGACTGGGTGCCAGGTCCATCTAGGGTTAACCCTGCCTGCTGTAAAAATAGCAGTTTCAGAGAAACTGCTATCTATTCATTAGGGTTAATCCAGCCTCTAGTGGCTGTCTCATTGACAGCCACTAGATGCACTTCCGCGCTTCACACTGTGATTTTCACAGTGAGAAGACGCCAGCGTGCATAGGAAAGCATTAAGAATGCTTTCCTATGGACTGACAATGCGCGCGGCTCTTGCCGCGCATGCGCATTCGGAGGCTGTGGGAGCCCGGCGCTGGAGAAAGGTAAGCCTTTAACCCCTACCTCCCCCTAGAGCCCGGCGGGAGGGGGCCATGAGGGTAGGGGGGTCCTATTAACACTATAGTGCCAGGAAAACGAGTTTGTTTTCCTGGCACTATAGTGGTCCTTTAAAGGGAGCAGAATGACAACGTTCTGGTCAAAGTTGATGCCAGAATGATGCATGACTGATAAACTCTGCAAAGAGCCATGGGTAAGCCCTTGAACTAGACAAGTCTTGCAATAGCAAAACCCAGTGCATTAGAGAACGCTACTTGATTAGCCTCCAGGCCAACCAATCACAGAGCTCTATACTGAGTTTTCAAAGTGTAGGAGGACTGTCTAAAATGTTCTTCTGCCTTGAATGTTTAATCCGCTAGAAAACCTTGACGGGCTCACACATATTTATTTTGTTAAGCGTCATGGTTTATGGTTTTCTGTCAGTTTTTTCAAAAAGTTTTTCCACATCACTGAAAAACTAACTGACTCTAAAAACCACAGATCATGCAAAACGTGCGCACTAACTGATTGTGTTGGCTCCAGTATTACACTTTACATAATAATGCTCTACTGCCTCAGTAATAAGGAATTAATCATCAAAGAAAAGAAGCAAAAAACGTGCAGTATGTCTAGCCATCCTTTATTAGCTGCAAAGTGGTCAACATTGTATCTAGGATGTAAACTAAGCGTTCCTAGTATTACTTTGCAATATATTTTAAAATGATCCATTACATACCTGTCAAATTAGGCCATCCTGTATTACATATCAAGCGAGAGGAGAATCTCTTCTGTTTCAGCACATAATAAAGGAACAATTAAGTTGAAAGATGCTGAATCATTTCTTTATTTTTACTCTGCTGCATTACAATAGTTTTGGCAGAAACTAGGATGATTGCATCCTTTTGTATATTTTTGTGCCATATTCGGCCAATTGATAACAGATACGAAGAACGAATACGTGTAATCAATACCAGTTACGCTGATTAATTATGATAGAATAAATAGTGAGGGTAGATTTTATACCGTCCTTTTATTCCAAATGAGTGTAAAATTTTAGAAAAAAATGGAAGCCTGAGAATAGGGATTACACTCTTTCTGGGGATAACCCGGGTAACTGGAGAAGTTGAAATGAAAAGGCAAGAATTGCGTGCCCTAATGGAAGTTAAACTATAACTTTTATTATAACAATAAAAGTTATGTTTTAACTTCCATTAGGGCACTCAATCCTTGTCTTTTCATTGAATAAAAGAGTGTAATCACCAAGGTGAAGTGGTCATATAGGAGTCTGCTATTTCCTCTGATGTTGACCACAGTAGAGAGAAGGAATTTGATGTCAAGAGAAAGTGTTGCATTATTGGGATGCAGCCATCATTTTAATTCTTCTAGACTGTAAGCCTGCTTGAGCAGGACCTCTTCACTTGCATCTGTCAATATTATTTTGAGCTTCAGAAAACATTGGAGATATATGAACATGACTACAACTATACATAATAAGAATAATTCTAATATTATGAGTCTTCACTTTTAACTTTGGATCGAAAACCTATTTTTTTTTAAATTGCACTTCTTGTAAATGCGTTATTTGGCATAAGCTATTTATAATAACTGGAGCTACTGAACTGCGATCTCTAACACGAATGAGTAGTTTTAATAAAAACTCTTGCATCTGGGCAATAAGTAGCAAGAATAATTATCTTTTCTGCTGGCAAATCAAAATCGCTGCTGTTCTGTAAAGCAGACACTTCCCCATCAGAATCTGATTCCAAACGTCCAGATAGCTTACATGTATCTGTGTAGCAAAGTAAAGATATTTTCTCAATTATTAGTTATTTCTTAAAATGCTTGTTTTTCAACTTTTAATCTTTTTTTTTTTAGCACTGAATTAATGATTTGATCCTTGATTTCTTGATTGTTTATGGAGAAAGGCTTGAGGGTTTACCTATCAGAACATTAGTAGCAACATCTATTGCAGGGGTAGGCAACCTTTTAGCAGCACTGTGCCGATATAGGATTGTGATCTATCGTAGCGTGCCGGTCCTATTTTTTTTTTTTTTTTTTAAATTGAGGTGTGTATGCTGCCGTATTCTGCTTGTGTTATTTATACTGTAATTGCTTTGTATCGTTGTATTTGTGCGTATATGAGCTATTATATTGTATATTTTCATGAGTAGATTGTGGTATTGTGTATGATACATATGAATGTGGGCTGTATATGGGGGCAGCTTGTGGAATTGTGTGTGTGGATATGTCACATTGTGTGTTTAGTAGTGTGTGTATGTGGGGGGGCTCTTTGGGGTATTGCATGTGAGAGGCTGCATGTGGGGTTGTGTGCATGTATGTGGATTGTTAGTGGTGTTGCGTTTGTGAGGATTGTGTTTATGTTTGTGCGGATTGTGTGTATGTTTGTGTGTGGGCTGTCAGTATTATTTGTATGAGGGGAGGGTCTTTCTGCATTTCTGTGTATATCTAGCAGTTTGGGTGGCTTCCCTGGGTTCCAGTGGAGACCATGTTGGCCAGCTACAGGTCAAGGACCGGAGCTGCAACAACAACTGTGAGCTGCTCTACTACTGTGTGGATTCCCATTCACAAGTGCTGGAATTAAGTTCTCTGAGATCACTTCCTCTACGTGCTGCAATGCATAAATTGAGGATTGTCCTTCACCACCTCTTCGTATTAGCAGATATCCGAAGTTTTACTGGGACTTTAGATAGGCCAGAGCCTGTTTGGCTCTAGCAGCCTTGAGTGCCGTGCAAAGTCACCTCGAGTGCCGTGCATGGCACTAGTGCCGTAGGTTGCCTACCCCTGATCTATTGGTTGTATCTAATGTTTGCCTTTGTTAACACTTCTACAGGTTTGGGGTTTATTCACAAATTCAAGAATTTTCCAACTCAGCAGCATTAAAGGGACACTATAGTAACCAAGACAACTTTAACTTAATGAAGCAGTTTTGGTGTATAGATCATGCCCCTGCAGTCTCACTTCTCAATTCTCTGCCATTTAAGAGTTAAATCACTTTGTTTACATAGCCTTAGGCACACCTCCCTGCATGTGACATTACACATTGGTTCTAAACACTTCCTGTAAAGAGTCATCTAATGTTTAGACTTCCTTTATTGCAAATTCTGTTTGATGTAAAATGTCTTATCTCCTGCTCTGTTAATAGCTTGCTAGACCCTGCAAGAGCCTCCTGTATGTAATTAAAATTCAATTTACAAAGCAGGAGATAAAAACTTTTACAGAAAGTTAACATCTGATTGAAAATGAAACCATTTTTTTTTCATGCAGGCTGTGTGAGTCACAGCCAATGGAGGTGTAGGTAGGGCTGAATTAACAGAAATAAATTGATTTAACTCCTACATGGCTGAAAATTGAACAGTGAGACTTCAGAGGCATTATCGATACACAAAAACGGCTTCATTAAGGTAGAATTGTTTTGGTGACCATACTGTCCCTTTAACCTAAATTATGCAGTGCAGCTTTCACTAGAATTTAGCATTTAGTGAATATATTTTTAGACTTGATGCTAACAGCAATATTTGGGTTTGTGTATTGTCTTATTTTGTAACAATAAATTGTACGTAACCACTTCCAAAACTTTATAAATCAGTGTAATTAGCAGTTATAGTCATTTTGAGGTTCATTCTTAATTGGCATGCTGTTTCCTTATCAAAGTCCTTTCGTTTATAAGCTCATTTGAGCATATGTCTCATTAACTCATGTTACTGTAAGTTAAAGCTATGTTGTTGAATTTACTTGTAAGCCTTGTGAATGCATTCTATTGTGTTGTAGAAAACGTTAGTACATTATGAAACATTAGAACAGGAAAACTTCATAATCTACGAAATGTGAGTTAATTCTTGGTGCCAGATGTAGTAGCTCCAGAATTTCAAAAACAGATGTGATTTTCATGAACTACACTCGCAAATGTTAACAAAAACAAGTATAATAAACAAAAAACATTCAAGAACTGGTAATTCTATGTCCTATGTCCTTTAACTCTGCAATGGTAATTATTGCAGTTTTGAGAAACTACAATAATTACCTGCCAGGGTTAACTCCACTTCTAGTGGCTGTCCGGATGGTTAGGTGATTTTTGGTCTTCTAACTAATGCTGGGCATCCTCACACTTTCCTATGGGGGAAGTCCTAATGGAAGCACATCATTAGGTCCCTTCCACCGACTAATGTCAGCGCGGGGGAAGGGTCGGGGGCAGCAGAGGCAGAGCCTGAACCAGCATCAAAGGGACATTGGTGCTGGAATCAGGTAAGTGTTAGAAAGGGTTTATATCCCCTTCTGCACCATAGGTGTGACGGGGGAGGAGGGGGACATGAGGGACGGGGGCACAACAGAGCAGATTGCTTCTCAGGAATACCTAAAAAAAATAATTTGTGAACATTTACAAAAATGTGATTATTCGTTTACCTGTAAAATATTGGGGTGACCTTTTTTCTGTATTTCAGGCAGTATTATCAGAATTATTATCATATAAGAGCAAATCCCAGCTTTGACTCATACCAAAACAAATACAAAAAGAAAAGTCCTGCGCTCACTCCCATCACTCCTGGGTGGCAGCAACGACCACATTACACATCAGCTAATACATATAGTAAAAACCAAAGAGAAAAAGTTACCTGTGCTCTCTCCTTAATCCCTATGTATATTTAAACAAATGGAGTTCATTTAGTTACTCCAATGGCCACTGGAGGGAATGACCGCCTGCCAACATCAAGGCAGATCCCCCTAGACAGGTCCTACTCTGACCCTTCACCCTGCTTCATTGAGCTTCTGGCAAAGATATCTCTAATGAGACAGAAAGGGGTATTTTTTATATACACCCCTATATACTTATTAACCCTTAATAGGGAACATATGGGATGGGCGGCAGCATTGTAACCTAGCTGTGTGATACAAAAAGTGAATAGAAATACAAAAAGAAAAGTCCTGCGCTCACTCCCATCACTCGTGGGCGGCTGCAATGACTACAGTACACATCAGCTAATACATATAGTAAAAACATGGGATGGGTGGCAGAATTGTAACCTAGCTGTGGACAAAGATATCTCTAATGAGACAGAAAGGGGTATTTGTTATATATAAGTATATATACTTATTAACCCTTAATAGGGAACACATGGCATCCCGGCATCACTCTGCAGTGCGCAAGGGTGCTGAACAGAGACAGCTCACTAATCAGTGCTCCCTCTCTGGCGCCGCGCGCCTGGATTACAATTAGCCACCCAAGTGCCTGCATGCCTGCCTCCCTCCCTGCAAGAAGACCAACTGGACCCCAGGTAAAACAAAATCCACCCAGCTCTTCCAAAGGTAGGGAGGCTGGGTGGATTTAAACTAAAACAGAAAAAGTAATCTTTATTAATTAATGTTTGGGGGGAGGGGGTTTTGTGTGTCTGTCTGTCAGTGAGTGTATGTCTGTCAGTGTGTGTTTGAGTGATTGTGTGTTTCTGGCTGTCAGTGTGTGTGTCTGAGTGATTGTGTGTGTCTTGCTGTCAGTGTGTGAATGTCTGCCGGTGTGTGTTTGAGTGATTGTGTGTGTCTGGCTGTCAGTGTGTGTCTGAGTGATTGTGTGTGTCTGGCTGTCAGTGTGTGTATGTCAGTGTGTGTCTGAGTGATTGTGTGTGGCTGTCAGTGTCTGGCTGTCAGTACGTGTCTGAGTAATTGTGTGTCTGTGTCTGACTGTCAGTGTGTGTGTGTGATTGTGTGTGTCTGGCTGTCAGTGTGTGTAAATGTCTGTCAGTGTGTATCTGAGTGATTGTGTGTGTATGTTGGTCACTGTGTGGCTGTCTGTCAGTGATTGTGTGATTGTGTGTGTATGTCTGTCAGTGTGTATCTGAGTGATTGTGTGTATGTCTGTCACTGTGTGGCTGTCTGTCAGTGAGTGAGTGTGTGTGTCTGTCAGTGAATGTGTTTGTTTCTGAGTGATTGTGTCAGTGAGGGTGCATGTGTCTGAGTGATTGTGTGTGTGTGTGTGTGTGTGTGTCTGTGAGTGAGTGTCTGTCAGTGAATGTGTGAGTGTCTGTCAGTGAATGTCAATGAATGTGTGTCTGTGTCATTGTGTGTGTATGTCAGTGAGTCAGTGATTGTGTCAAATCAGTTTATCTAAGGGGGGGCTGTCAGTCAAAGTGTGTGTTTTGTTTAACAGGAAGAGGTGAGGCATTGACAGGAAGTGGTGGGGCAAATGTAAATTAGAGGGTGCCCAAGTTCCGTAATGCCTAGGGCA